AATTTGATTTTCCCTGTTGTTTAAAGTTGCCATGAGCTCATGAGCCTTCTAGTAACAATTTGACATATCCAAAGGCATCATGCCACCGAAATATCAGAGAGATACATCTCTACATCCTGCAAAATGACTCCGGGTACAATGAGGACTGATGCTCATAGCCCACGCAAGGACAAGGTGTGCAGTTGTGGCAGGTCTAAAATGCAGTGATGGTCTCAGATCAGTCAAAAGGCATGTGTACAAATTCTGCAGGAGGTTTTATCCCACACTGAGGTTTCCCTTACTGGTAGCAACATGGCAGCATTGCTATTTGTGGGTTGGCTTTGCGCTGAGGAATGCTCTAGTAACAGAGGTGGAAGCTTGTGGCTGTCTCAAACAATACCAAACAGTTTTTACTTTCTGACCATTACTCTTCAGTTTTCTCCTTCCTTTCCAAGTGGCCTCGGCCCTGATTTCAACCACCAGTATTCCTGCTGTGACTCTGAGCCTCTCAGACAGTGGCTAAGTTAACTTGCTTTCTCTAAATATTGGACCTCCTGTTGTCCTCATCAGAGACTGGGAGAGTCAGACCACTGGTCTTACTTACTACTGTCTTCCTTATATTCTGTAGTGGCAGCTGGGAAAGACAGAAATGCTTTTGTGTTAGTTATTTTCAATCTATGGAGATTTTTGTTGACATTCTAACTAAAGACATTTGTTTTTTCCCGAAAAAACCATCTTTCCATTGTTGAGAAATCTAATGTATCAAACTAAAGGGTCCTCAGCTGAAAAACGCACTTTGAAAGGAGTCAGAGGTCAACAGTGTGCTCAGGCAGTGCGATTTAGATGTCGTCTTCTCCCTGGACATTCTAGGGAACTACAGGATATTGGCTGGGTTCTCACCTCAGCCAGCATCTCTCACAGTACACCTCACCAACTCAGCCTGGGAGAGGCAGTCCCAAGCAGGGACCTCAGTTCAGAGAGGAAGATGGAAATGGAAATCAGATGATCTACATCCATTAAGGAATACCTGAGATCTGAAATATTTCAAATTTAGTTGAGAATGCCCTGATTTTTCACCTGAAACAACCCCATTGTTCCTGCAGAAACATCCTGTACACTCAGCATGTAGTCCTTTCACTGCAATGCACTTTCTGTCAGAAGCAAAGGACCTTTACCTAATCTGGTTTACCCTCTTGAGTAACTCCTTATATTTTAGGAACTATACCATTGGCCTTTATCATATCTCCAAGTGGCACTACACATTCCATCCTGATTCTTTGCTGAAAAGCAAACCAGGGGCAAGGACTCACTTCTCTGTATCGCCCTCAGACAGAAGGATCCAAAACACTTAAGTAGACAGAGTGGTGATACAGGTGGCAACAATCTGCCTGCATGAGAAGACTTTGGCTTATGTCTTACTTTTAGACAATAGTTAGTACACGCCTGCTCGAACTTGAACTGGGGTGCAGCAGAGCTTTGTGTTGTTCCCCAGTATGTGTACTCCTACATGGTCAGAGAAATAGTCTCTACACAGCTAAGAGCCTGTCATACTTATCTGCAGGTTTTTTTGTACTGAAGACTTCTATGGTGATCCTTATTCATGCTTACTGTTGGTGTGGCTTGTTATTTCTCTTCATCCATCACCCCATGAAAAGGAAAGTGAGTCCATTGTTATCAGCACAAGATCTTATCTTGACTCATGCAGGCTGTTCAGCACATGCATGACCTTCACTTCCCCACCAGCCTGCCCTACCTCAGTTGTTCTACTGTTGTGCCTCATTACTTTTTTTCTTGGCTTCATTGGGGTCTCTCCTCTGAAAGATGCTTGGGGAAGACTCACAAATTGTTTGCTTGACTGGTTCTTGAGAAGCAGTCCTAAAACTGACAGTGTCCTGAGCACTTAATCTTTCAGGGTTAAATTATTGTGGGGTTTGAGAGCTTTGGGGTGAGTCAGTGGAAAAAACCGGCAGCTCTAGGAAGGCTAAGACTGACTCATCGCCCAAGAAGAGCCTGAGGAACTCCAAATGCAGCTGCAGTTTAGGTACGGGAATGGAAGAAAAGGCATTTGCATGCAATTTTGTCCTATTGCTCCAGCAATGTGACCCCACCCTGTAGTGGAGAAAGATGTCTCACACTTAACAAATGGAAACGGTATCCTGTCAGCCCCAATGCTCTGCCAGATTCTCGGTCTTTTGGGAGGAAATGTCCACGCCATAGCATCAGAGACAGAAGTGAATCTATTTCAGTGTCATTCCTTCACCCATGGCTCCTCTGGGATTGTTCTCTCGTGTTTTATTTAACAGGCAGAGAGAGATGAAGAAAGGGAAAGCAAATGAATACAGAGGGAGGCTTGTGCTTTAACTCACAAAGAATCAAAACTAAGCTGTGAGCACATATCCCCTGGGGGAGTTTGCATTTGATAGCGTGTGTATTCAGAGAGAGGTGCTGACGTTCTCAGGAAGTAGGTGCACTGAAAGCACCTGAACTAACACTGCTCTCCTGCAGTGCTAAAATAGGCAGAAAAAGCAAAGGGAATAAAGGATTTCAGTTTTTTCTTAGAGTATTGGTCAAAGTCCTGAGCATAGGGTCATGATTTTTGGGGGTTCTTTTTTACATTGTAAAGTAACATTTATCCCTCATTTTCATTTCTGAATGCAAACAAAAGATGCATTTGAAAGGACTGTTCTAGTCCTTAGGATGCCATGAAAGTAGATTTTTAATCTTTCAAGTAGAAAGCTTTGTTTGAAGGATCTAAAAAATAATAAGAAAAAAAAAGTGCTGAATTAGATTTTAAAGAGGCCATGGAAAAATACATCGATCTAAGAAAGAAGAAAATTTAGCCACTGTTTAGTAAAGGCAAATTTCAGAGCAGACAAATTTGCCAGAGTTTGGTTTATACTTGCCAGCGCCTATAGTATCAAGAGCACTTGTTAAA